TCTACGAACTTGGTGAGTGGTGCTGACCTACAGGATGCGGGGGTTCACCAGTTCACTCCTGGGAGTCAGCGGGTGACCCACTGCACGGACGCTCGGACTGGCCGACACCTGGCCACGTTTACCCGTCGGCCGGGGTCGAGCCTGTACACCCTGACCACTGCGTCTCCTCCAGTCACTGCGTCTGGTCAGGTAGCTGCGTCAGGTCAGGTGTTTGCTGCAGCGTCCAGGTCTGGTCCTGAGTCTGCCCCCTGTTCGTGTCGCCTCCTGTCTCACGAGACTCTCCTCTGGCACCACCGCCTTGGTCACCCCTCCCTGCTTCGTCTCCGAGGCATGGCCTCCCGTGTCCTTGTCTCTGGTCTTCCCCGGTCCCTCCCTCCCCTTCCTCCGGGGCCTGGCCCTACCTGCGTCCCCTGTGTCGAGGGGCGGCAGCGGGCTGCCCCTCACTCCTCCCAGTTTCCTCCGACAGAGGCCCCGCTGCAGACGCTTCACATGGACGTGTGGGGCCCGACCCGCGTCCGTGGACAGGGTCACGAGCGCTACTTCCTGCTGGTGGTTGACGACTACTCGCGTTACACCACAGTCTTCCCCTTGCGCAGCAAGGGTGATGTCACTGCGGTGTTGATCGACTGGATCCGCGCAGCTCGTCTCCAGCTCAGGCAGAGCTTCGGTTCGGACTTTCCTGTTCTGCGTCTGCACTCTGACAGAGGTGGAGAGTTCTCCCCTGGCCTTCTGCGAGCCTACTGTCGAGCACGAGGCATCCGCCAGACCTTCACGCTTCCGGACTCTCCACAGCAAATGGGATTGCTGAGCGCCGCATTGGCATGGTCATGGACGTCGCCCGTACGTCCATGATGCATGCGGCTGCCCCCCATTTTCTGTGGCCGTTTGCGGTTCGGTACGCGGCGCATCAGATCAACCTTCACCCTAGGGTCTCCAGACCGGAGACCTCCCCTGCTTTGCTGTGGACGGGGAAGGTTGGCGATGCGTCTGCGTTCCGTGTCTGGGGATCTCGGGCGTTTGTCCGCGACTTGTCTGCGGACAAGCTGTCCCCTCGTGCTGCTCCTTGCGTCTTCCTTGGCTTCCCCCCTGACGCGCCAGGGTGGCAGTTCTACCACCCCACCTCTCGCCGTGTTCTGTCCTCCCAGGACGTCACGTTTGACGAGTCGGTCCCCTACTACCGCCTCTTCCCCTACCGCACTCCGTCCCTCCCCCCACCACCGCTCTTCCTTGTGCCAGGTCCCCCCCCGGTAGACCCCCTCCCCCCTCAGGGTCCTGCCCCTTCAGGTGTGTCCCAGGTAGACGCAATCGAGCCTGTCGAGGTTACTGGTGACTCTGGTGCTGCTGAGGGTGCTGAGCCTGGGGGTGCTGACTCTGGGGGTGCTTAGCGTGTGGGTGCTACACCTGGGGGTGCTGAGCCTGAGGGTGCTACTACTGGGGGTGCTGAGCCTGGGGGTGCTGAGCCTGGAGGTGCTACTACTGGAGGTGCTGAGCCTGGGGGTGCTGAGCCTGGGGGTGCTGAGCCTGGGGGTGCTACGCCTGGAGGTGCTGGGCCTGGGGGTGTGGAGCCTGAGGGAGCTGGGCCTGCTTGTGTGGCGTCTGGCGGTGCTGAGCCTGGAGGTTCTCCGGGTGCTTCGTCTCGGCGGGAGCCACTCTCTCCACAGGAGCTGCGCGAGTGGTTTGCCCGGCGCTGGAGGCGTGCTGCTGGAGCTGGAGGTTCTTCGGCTACTGAGGGTGCTGGTGCCGCGGGTCCCGGAGGTACTCGTACTGGGAGTACTGGAGCTGCTGGGCCTGCGGGTACGACTGGAGCTGGAGCTGCTGAGGGTGTTGACGCTGAGGCTACTGCTGTCGGTCCTGGAGGCGGGCCTGCTGGGGGTGCTACTGGTGCTGCTGGAGGTACTGGAGCTGGAGTTGCTGCTGGCGCTGGTGCTGCCGCTTGGGGTACTGGTGCTGTCCCTGCTGTGTCTGGAGTCGCCGCGCGGCCTCGGCCGTACTTCGTTCCGCTCCTTCAGCAGGTTCTTGGTCTCCCGCCTTCTACTGGCCCTCCTCCTCCCTTAGAGAGTCCACAGCCTGTCCTGTCACAGTTACAGTTACAGCCGGCCTCCCCACTGCCCGCTCCTTCTCCCTACACTGGTCCTACTGGAGGTCTTGCTGAGCGTCGTGAGCCTGCGTCGCGTCCTGCGTCGCCTGTCCGTACTGCTCGCGCTAGTGGTCGTGGTTCGCGTCAGCGTCCTCCTCCTGTCCCTGGCACGCACCGGATGTCTCTGCGTCCGTCCACTGCTCCTCTGCGTGCCCCTTTGCCTTCTCCTCCTGAGTCCTCTCTTCCTGCTCTTCCCGACCCAGAGTCGGACTCTCTTCGTGCTGCCAGTCCTACTGTCACGCGTCTCCTTGCTACTGTCGTCACTGACCCTTCCTTTGCGTCCACTGCTGCGTCTGCCCTAGTTGCTGAGCTCGTCGACTTTGCTGCTCGCTGTCGTCTAGACTACGCTGCTCGTCTTGTCGCTGAGTCTGAGTCTGTCTGTCCTCCGTCCGTCGGGGGTGAGTGTGCCCTTGGCACGGACGTCCTTGAGGACAGGCAGGAGGAGTTCCAGTGTTTGGCTGCTACTTCACCTCATCTCGTGTCCGTACTGCTTACCCCTGAGGGAGACCCGGATGCACTTGACATCCCGACTCCGCGCTCTTACGCGGAGGCGATAGAGGGTCCCTACTCCTCTCAGTGGCAGGCAGCTATGGACGCAGAGATGGCTTCCTGGAAGTCCACAGGCACCTACGTTGACGAGGTTCCCCCGCCTGGGGCGAACATCGTCAGTTGCATGTGGATTTTCAGGGTGAAGCGGCCGCCGGGTTCTCCGCCTGTCTTCAAGGCGCGTTACGTGGCTCGTGGCTTCAGTCAACGGCAGGGAGTTGACTACTTTCAGACCTTCTCTCCCACCCCGAAGATGACCACTCTTCGGGTACTGCTGCACATAGCTGCTCACCGCGACTACGAGCTGCACTCTCTTGACTTCAGCACTGCTTTCTTGCAGGGCAGCCTGCACGAGGAGATCTGGCTGCGTCGCCCACCTGGCTTCACTGGGTCTTTTCCTCCTGGCACCCAGTGGAGCCTCCGGCGGCCAGTCTACGGTCTCCGCCAGGCACCGCGTGAGTGGCACGACACACTGAGGACTACACTTGCGGCTCTTGGGTTTGCTCCCTCTACTGCCGACCCGTCGCTGTTTCTGCGCACCGACACTTCTTTGCCGCCGTTCTACATCCTCATGTACGTCGACGACTTGGTCTTTGCCACAGCTGACACTGCTGGACTCGCCCACGTGAAGTCCGAGCTGCAGAAGAGACACACGTGCACAGACCTGGGTGAACTGCGCAGCTACCTTGGCTTGCAGATCACCCGTGACAGAGCACGCCGCACCATTACCCTGACTCAGTCACACATGGTGCAGCAGGTCCTTCAGCGCTTCGGCTTCACGTACTCCTCGCCTCAGGCCACTCCTCTGCCTACTCGCCACTCGCTCTCAGCTCTGCCTTCGGATGAGTCCGTAGAGTCGAGTGGCCCGTACCCAGAGCTTGTTGGCTGCCTCATGTACCTGATGACCTGCACACGACCTGACCTCGCATACCCTCTTAGCATTCTCGCACGCTATGTTGCTCCTGGGAGACACAGACCGGAGCACATGGCTGCAGCGAAGAGGGTGTTGCGTTACTTGTGCAGTACGTCGGGCATGGGGCTTGTGCTTGGAGGGCAGAGTCCAGTGGTCCTCACTGGGCACGCAGACGCTTCTTGGGCTGACGACCAGGCTACGCAGCGGTCGTCACAGGGTTACACCTTCAGCCTTGGTTCCGGCTCTGTTTCGTGGCGGGCTACCCGCTCGTCTTCTGTTCTCGGCTCCAGTTGTGAGGCTGAGATCTACGCCGGGGCCATGTCTGCACAGGAGCTTCGCTGGCTCACCTACCTGCTGACTGACCTCGGAGAGCCGCCTCGTTCTCCTCCAGTGCTGTACGTAGACAACAAGGCCATGCTGGCCTTGTGTCGAGAGCAGAGACTGGAGCACAGAACGAAGCACATTGCTCTCCGCTACTTCCTTGCTCGTGAGCTACAGCAGCGTGGTCAGCTGCGGCTTGCGTACGTGGCCTCTCAGGCCAACACTGCTGATATCTTCACCAAGGCACTTGCGCCTTGTGATCATCAGCGCTTCTGTACTCAGCTGGGTCTTGTGCCCACCTTGCCTCACTTGCTCACCTCTTGACCTTGTTTGTACTGATGCATATATATATATATATACTCCTGCTCTTGCTTGTCTAGCCTTATATATATATGTAATCCTGCATGTGAACTGGCCTTGTGGCCTTGAACTTGTGCTCGGAATGTGTGGTGACTTTGTGATCCACCCTGAGCTTGTTTTGCTTTGCTTGACTGGTCCTGTGACCCCTTGTTCTCCCCCACTTTGCCTATGGGGGTGTGTCAGATTTATATGACATAGCTACTGTAGGCTATAGTGGGGTGGCACATATGGGGTACAGTTTTCTAGGGTTTGCTTTTTGTACCCAACTTTCACTTAGTCATTTCATTCCTCGTTTCTTCTCAAAGCGTGCATAAGAAGTTCAGTATGAACATCAGCGTTAGGAAACGAAGTAACAAGACTAAAATAGCTAGGTATGTGAGCCCGAAGCCTAAAGAATATTTACGTTGAGGTCGGGCGTATGCCGTTGAATCGAGAGGAATCAGGGAACCAAGGAAGGGAATGTGGCGTGTATGCGAGTGTGAAGCACCGAGATGATGTGAGGCACGGAGATACAGAAGCGTCGACCTCACTTCCTCACCCATCGTCCTCGCTTCCCCCGCACATTCCCCCACCCATCACCTTCGCTTCCCCCGCCCATCGCCCTCGCTTCCCCGCCCATCGCCCTCGCTTCCCCTGCCCATCGCCCTCGCTTCCTCTGCCCATTCCCCCACCCATCGCCCTCACTTCCCCCACCCATCGCCCTCGCTTCCCCGCCCATCGCCCTCACTTCCCACACCCATCGCCCTCGCTTCCCCCGCCGATTCCCCCACCCATCGCCTTCGCTTCCCCCACCCATCTCCCTCGCTTCCCCGCCCATTGCCCTCGCTTCCCCGCCCATTGCCCTCGCTTCACCTGCCCATCGCCCTCGCTTCCCCCGCCCATTCCCCAGCCCATCGCCCTCGCTTCCCACACCCATCGCCCTCGCTTCCCACACCCATCGCCCTCGCTTCCCCCGCCCATTCCCCCACCCATCGCCTTCGCTTCCCCCACCCATCGCCCTCGCTTCCCCGCCCATCGCCCTCGCTTCCCCGCCCATCGCCCTCGCTTCCCCTGCCCATCGCCCTCGCTTCCCCCGCCCATTCCCCCACCCATCGCCTTCGCTTCCCCTCCCACCGCTCGCTGCGTCGACCTCTCCTTTCCCAATTGTACCCGGGTTGACGTAGCTCCCCATCCCCGCCGCTGCCTCTTCATCGATCTACCCCTCTTCTTCGCCCTGCTTGAGATCCCCCATCGCCCACGTGCAGTCGGGCCGTAGTTGCCCCAGTCGTTTCCCGCCCAGCCACCTTCTCTACCCCTCCTGTTGCCCGTCTTTACCCCCTCCTCCAATTCTCCCACCCTATGCTTCACCCTTACCCACTTTCTCCCATGCAAAAAAACCTCTACCACCATCCCCCTTCCTATCTTCCTTCCTCCCTCCCACCCTACTAGCCTCCCAGCCTAACGAACTACCTTTCACCTTCCCATTCAATCCTTTCACCTTCTTGCCCTTGTCCCTTACTCTCTCTTTTCCCCCCTGCCCATTCTCGTCCCCCCTGCTCACTCTGTTTCTTACTGTTCAGAGCTTGTGGTCTTGTGGCTGGGATTCTGACATGGTATCAGAGCTAAAGGTCTCGGGGGCGAATCCCGGTATATGAACATGCTGCCATTTGCGCTGCGCCGTGTCTCGGGCCTCCCTGTGTGGGGCGGTGTCAGAAGACCTACACAGCGGATCCCCGTTTGATCCTAGTAAGGGTTACAGGCCTGTTGCTTGGAGGGTTATGTGCACACGTTTGCGCGCCGCTGCCCCGCGCGCTGATGCCCCGCGCGCCGCTGCCGCACGAGCTGCTGCCCCGCGCGCTGTTGCCCCGCACTCCCCGCTGCCCCGCACGCCGACATCCCGCGCGGTGCTGCTTCGCGCGCCGCTACCCTGCGCGCTGCTGCCCCGCGCGCCGTCATGTCAAAGATGTGAACAGCGGAATGAACGAACTAGGCAACAAGGGGATAGAAATAGGAAACTCTAAACTGATGTACCCCATAGTGCATGCCCCACTATAGCCTATATATCATATTTGTAATTTGACAAACCCCCATAGGCTAAGTGGGGGACAACAAGCGGTCAAAAGACCTGTCAAAAGCAAGCTTAGGGTGGATCTCAAGATCACCACACGGTCCGAGCACAAGCAAGTGGCCACAAGGCCAGTCCACATGCAGTGTCATAGTAAATCACAGTACAAGGCCTAGAGCAGTGCAGAAACGCTGATGATCACAAGAACCTAGGGCCTTGGTAAAGATATCAGTAGTGTTGGCCTGTGAGGCCACGTAAGCAAGGCGAAGCTGACCACGCTGCTGCAGCTCAAATGCGAGAAAGTAACGAAGAGCAATGTGCTTCGTTCTGTGCTCCAGTCTCTGCTCTCGACATAAGGCAATCATGGCCTTCTTGTCGACGTACAGAACTGGAGGAGAACGAGGCCGCTCACCCAAGTCAGTCAGCAAGTAGGTTAGCCAGCGTAACTCCTGCGCAGCCATAGCCACAGCGTAGATCTCAGACTCATAGCTGAAACTAAGTACAGAAGACGAGCGAGTGGACCTCAACGAGACAGAACCAGTGCCGAGACTGAAAGTGTAACCCTGTGACGACCGCTGAGTCTCCTGGTCGTCGGCCCAAGAAGCGTCTGAATGCCCAGTGAGCACAACTGGGCCCTGTCCTCCAAGCACAAGCCCCATGCCTGATGTACTGCACAAGTAGCGCAATACCCTCATAGCAGCCCGGTAGTGCTCAGGGCGGTGTCTCCCGGGTGCAACGTAATGCGGCAGGTCAAGTGCACGTCATCAGGTATATGAGGCAACCCACAAGCTCTGGATACGGACCACTCGGCTCTACGGACTCGTCTGAAGGTGGAGCTGAGAGCGAGTGGTTTGTAGGCAGAGGAGTGGGCTGTGGCGAGGAGATCTGAAAGCGTAAGCGCTCAAGGACCTGCTGCACCATGTGTGACTGAGTCAGAGTGATGGTGCGCGCTGCTCTATCCCGGGTGATCTGCAAGCCAAGATAGCTGCGCAGCTCACCCAGGTCAGTGCAGGTGTATCTCTTCTGTAGCTCCGTCTTCACAAGGGCCAGTGCCTCAGTGTTAGCAGTAGCAACGAGGAGTTAGAAGGGTGGAAGCGAAGGGTCGGTGCGTAGAAACAACGACAGGTCAGCAGGCGAAGGAGTTGAACCAAGAGCCGCAAGTGTCGTCCTCAGTGTATCGTGCCACTCGTGGTGCGCCTGGGTACACCAGAGGCTCCACTGGGTACCCTCTGGAAACGACCCAGTGAAGCCAGGTGGATGGCGTAGCCAGATCTCATCGTGTAGGCTGCCGTGCAAGAAAGCTGTCGAGAAGTCGAGGGAGTGCAGCTTGTAGTCACGCTGTGCTGCAACGTCCAGTAACACCCGAGGAGTAGTCATCTTCGGGGTGGGGGAGAAGGTTTGGAAGAAGTCACCCCCCTAACGCTGACTGAAGCCTCGTGCAACGTAACGCGCCTTGAAGACAGGTGGAGAACCCGGCGGCCGCTTCACCCTGAAAATATACATGCCATCGACTATGTTCACCCCAGGAGGGGGAACAGCGTCCACGTAGGTGCCTGTGGACTTCTAGTATGCCATCTTTGCGTCCATGGCTGTCTGCCACTAAGAGGAGTACTGACCTGTAATCGCCTCTGCGTAAGAGCGCGGGGTCGGGATGTCCAGTGCATCCGGGTCTCCCTCAGGGGCAAGCAGCATGGCAGCGAGATGAGGTACAGCAGTCGCGAAGCACTCGAGCTAAAACTGCCTGTCCTCAAGGACGTCACTGCCAAGGGCAAGCTCACCTCCGACGGACGAAGGACAGTCAGATTCAGAAACAAGACTCGCGAAGTAGTCAAGGCGGCAGGCAGCAGCAAAGTCAACAAGCTCAGACGGAGCAGCAAACTCAAAGGTAGGGTCAGTGACAAGTGTGGCCAGACAACGAGTGACAGTAGGACTAGCAGCACGAGCAAGGTCAAACTCAGGGTCAGGAACGTCAGGAAGAGAGGACGCTGGAGGAGACGGCACGACTGGATGCTGTGCAACAAAGGAAGGATGAAGTGACATAGTGTGCACGACTAGCAAGCACGGCGAGCACGACGAGCAACAGGGGAGGTAGGATGGGACGCAGGCTCTCGACGCTCAGCCAGGGAGTCTGTCTGCTCAGTGTAACGAGAAGGAGCAGACAGTGGGGAGTCAGGCGGAAACTGTGTCCGAGACTGGTCAGGCGGTGGAGTCAGTAGAGGAGGAGCAGTACCAGTGGGAGGCGGCTCTGCAGAGGCAGACAGAAGACGAGGAACCTAGCGAGCCAGGTGGTGGCAGTGACGAATGCGGCTGGTCCCAGAAGAACGGTTGCCGCTGCCGTGGCTGCACAGCACCCCCAGCTCCAGTACCTCCAGTGGCAGTACCTCCAGCTCCAGTACCTCCAGCACCAGAACCTCTAGCACCGCCAAATCCAGTACCTCCAGCATCTCCAGCGGCAGTACCCCCAGCACCAGGACCTCCAGCACAGCCAGCTCCAGCACCTCCAGCTCCAGTACCTCCAGCACCAGAACCTCCAGCACCTCCGGCGGTAGGACCTCCAGTACCGCCAGCTCCAGTACCGCCAGCAGCAGAACCTCCAGCACCGCCAGCGCCAGCACCTCCAGCTCCAGTACCTCCAGCACCAGAACCTCCAGGACCTCCAACAGCGGTACCTCCAGCACCAGAACCCCTAGATCTCACAGCAACCAACTCAGGAAGAGGCAATGACGACTGCTGCTGCTCCTAGTAGAAGGGGCGCCGCGGCAGAGGCTGCAACTCACACGCAGAACCTCGAGTAGTAGCACCCTCGACTCCACCACCACTAGGACGTTCAGCACCCCCAGAACCAGCAACCCCAGAGTCAGCACCCCCAGACCCAGCACCCCTAGAGGCCGCACCTCCAGCGCCACCACGCCCAGCAGCACTGGAGTCCACAGCCACAGCGCGGCGAAGGTGGTCGAGGCGGAAAACCAGGAGGGGTCTCCAAGCGCGGGGAGCAGCGAGAGGCCGCGGTGTCGTCAGCAGAAGGGTCACCCTTCTCATACGGGCCTGAGAAGACCTCCAAATGCTCAACCAAGGGGGGTGGTGTGACCTGAGACACACCTGAGGGAGCAGGACGCGAGAGGGGGGTGGGGGTCTACCGGGTGGTAACCTGGAACCAGGAAGAGGGGTGGCGGGGGACAAGAGAAGATGCGTGGGGGAAGAGACGGTAGTAGCAGACCGACTCGTCAAAGGTGGTGGGGTGGTAGGGTCGAAAAAATGCCAAGGCGGGGCGTCGGTGGGAAAGCCTCGGAAGACGCAGCGAATAGTGCGAGGAGAGAGCTTGCCCGCGGTAGTATCGCGGACAAGGGCAAGCGAACCCCAGACCCGAAACGCCGACGCATCGCCAACCTCCCCCGTCCAACGCAGTGTAGGCGAGATCTCTGGCTCGGACGCATGCGGCCAGAGGTTGAGCTGATGCGCGGCGTATCAGAACGCAAACGGCCACAGAAAATGGGGAGCAGCCGCATGGATCATGGAGGTGCGAGCAACATCCATGATCAAGCCAATGCGACGCTCAGCGATCCTATTATGCTGTGGAGAAGCCGGAAGCGTGATCAACCGGAGGAAAACTCACCTCCATGGTCAGAGTGCAGCCGCACCACCGGGAGGTCCTATTGGAAGCGTGCTCTCAGCTGGGGACAAACAACAAAACACTACGGACATCGCCCTTGCGGTGTAGTCGTTGACGACCAGCAGGAAGTAGCGCTCCCGGCCCGGCCCAGAGACTGGGGCGGGGCCTATACACGTCCATGTGGAGGGTCTGCAGAGGAGCAGTGGCCGGAGGGAACGAGGAGGAGTGAGGAGCGGCGCGCTGCCGCCCCTCGACGCAGGGAGTGCACGGGGGTGCAAGCGACGGAGGGAGCGGGGGTATGGACCTCGGGAGGCCAGAAACAAGGAGACGCGAGTGCATGCGAGGCAGACGCTGCAGGGAGGGGTGACCAAGACGGTGGTGCCAGAGTAGCGACGGATGCGTGATTAACCAACACGAGCAAGACGCAGCTACCTGACCGGACGTGGCCACCTGTGCAGACTCAGTGTGCAGTGTGCACAGACCAGACCCAGGCCTCAAAGTGAACATGGCGAGGTGTTCGCCAGTCACTATGTCCGTAAAGATCGCCACAAGCTCGTCTCCAGGAGTTGTGGTAGCGACCAACTGATCCTGGAGGACAGCGATACTCGCCAAGTTCGTAGCGAACGAGGGGAGGTGGAGACCTGTGAGGGAGCCGGAGGGGGCTGCCGGACACGGGAGAACAGTGGAACCACGTGCAACGACCGCGCCAGAGGAGGGGTCGGCCAGTGTGACAGGGACATGCGTTGTGAGCGGTGTGACTGTGGTGCAGTCGCGGAAGAAGCAGCGAGACGCGCCTGAGTCCAGCGCGAAGGTGTGCAAAGCCTCCGCAGGAACTGTACCTGAGTAAGCAGACTCACAAGCACCTACACTCGCCTCCTCGACACAGGCTAGCAACGACAGCTGCTGCTGCTCCCAGAACAACGGACGTCGCCGCTGCTGCTGCTGCTGCTGCCCACCCTCAGAACCTCCACCCCGACACGCTAGCGACAACAGGCCAGGGAGGAGAAACGGCAGCACAAGACGGCCTAGGGTGGCAGGAGAGAGGGAGGAGTAGCGCCTAACCATAGCGTCGTAGAAAGTATGGGCCGACGTCACCTGGCGAAAGTGGACCCTCTGATCGAGCGACAGGTGAGCGCGGACAGCAAGCTGGGCGACAGCATTGCGTGCCGTTCACTGTGTGCAGGCAGCGCGGTCCGCCCGGTACCGCCGATGCACGTCCTCCCCAACGTAGCAGCAGGCTCAACCTGGAGTTGTATGGGCCTGAAGGGACCCCGACGCGTG